TTTGACTGAACAGTATTTGCACTTATTTGTGTTACAGAAAACCACTCTCAGAAATTGAGAAAATGCATTAACCCCTTTGTACTGGACACCTTTTTACCAGGAGACAGTAACTGCGCATGACATTGCAGCTAGCTGTTGGCAGTTCTTACCTTCTAACACGTGGCAAGAGGAGACTCCCGTAACGATTCACACCACCAGCCCGCTGAAATTTTTACCATCTCTTCCCCCGTGTCAGCAGCACCTGCCTGCCATATCATACACTGCTTCAGTGCTAAGCACGGTCCCAGGCCTCAGTCAGACTTGCAAGCTTTGCTGCACTAAGCCTCTTCAACTTGGCCTTCACCAACAGAAGCGCACAAACATCTCTCATACGTGTATCTCTGGGCACTCAGGCACAGGATGTATTTTAAGGAAAACACATTCTTCAGTGAAAAAGCTCATTGATGATGCTTCTCATTAGTCACAGGTAACACCATCTTATTTGCCACAAGAAGACCTCTGCAGGCAGCCCACTTTCAAAGCAAAGCATCCTCCCACGGACTGCGGAGAGCGGGCAAAGCTAGAGATGTTCTAGCAATTGCTGACTGCAGCTATGTGACCTGTGGCATCTCCAGAAGCGTGCTCTTACCGATCAAAGCATGTCGCTATTTACAGACTCCTCATGGTAATGAGAGAAGCAGAGACGGGCGATGGTTGTAACGTCCTGGTTAAGTTTTATGCTCTGGACTAAATAAACCTGACGGGGACCCTTCTTAAAGCCATTCTCCACAACTAATTCTGATCCATGGTGTTTGCCTTTCAGTGAAAAACACTTTCATAAGCTATCTTCCTACTCAAAAACATTTAAATCTTTCTCTAATATTGCCTAAATGAAAATAAATGAAAACAAAGTCAAGATAAATACCTCAGATCAGTGTTCCGAGGGAAGAGTCTTTTCTTCCCACTGAAGTATACTTCAAAATTGTCTGTTGTCAGTCTATGTGCATAGTCGATGTATGCAGACACTTCCTGGTGACGAGAATTTCGGTCACGAATGAAGATTATGGACTGGAAAACACAAAGGTGGCCACAAATGAAGAATAGAAACATACATACGTGCACAGATTTCCATATAAAAAACTATTTAGAGAGCATATAAACATTTTCAACTTCACCTGGGCCAGGCTTCTCTTAGGAGTTAAGACACTTAAATTATGGCATGTTCTCAACGCAAGCTTGGCAGCATTGCAGTAAAAATAAATGTAAATGCAGTGTCACGCAACATGCCCTCATGTATTCCCCATGTCTCCTGGTGCCACTTCAGAAGGGTTTTCCCACAGGTCCTGGGCCATATCTGCCAGCCCCATGCACACAATCCTAAAGCAGCCTGATGCCGTTGGACACCCATTTTTAAGCAAGGGTGGTTTTGTTTGGCCATTCTACAACGCTACTGCCCATGCACTAATTACTGGACCAAAGTAGGAAGGGTGAGAATGTTGTTTTATTTGGGATGCACCTCTACAGCCAAAGCAAAACTTATTCAACTTAATATTCACAGCAGATTTTTAGCTTTTCAGAAAGATGATGGACTGGAAACTGGTTACCATATACCTCTCTATTCTGTGCTATGACCAGAGAACAGAGCAGACTTTGCCAGCCCTCTCTCTTGCAAGACAACCCCTGAGCTGTTTCATTCCTAACAGCTAATGAGTTCCAGAGCAAAAATCTGATAATTTAAATACAAGCCAACAAACAGCAAAACAAAATCTGTGCCTAGAAATAAAGCTGACTATAGCAGGGTGGCTACAAGTAGGAGAACAAATTACCCATTTAGCGGTTGCACCTCCACGTGTCAGAACTGAATTGAAGGTGGCATCGAGGCACCTGGAGGACAGCGACACATTCAGCAGCGGTTCTGGCTGCAAGAGATTACTTTCTGCCTTAGGGTTGTAACACCTGGAAGAACATCTCTGCTGCTGGCGAGATGCACGTCACGGACAAAGGCGCTGATGGGATGGCTTTCTATACCACTCGTTGCTGGGAAACCCTCTTCCCATTTACTTTCTACTCCTTCTCTGTTCCTTTACCTTTTACTTTCTTTGTTTCCAACTGAACAGAGAATAGGTTGGTAGAAGGCAATTCTTTTTCACACACTACCACAACCCAAAAAGCAAAAAGAACTGGTAGGAAGAGTGTGGACTTGCAAGACAGAAGGGTTCTTTCATCCTGGGATCCACATAAGAAAAACTAAACGCAGAGCGTAGAGGTTATAAGCTAGGTGAGGTATAACACTATTTGTTAGCTGTACACGTTTGTTTTTACTCAGCTGAAATCAAGTGATATATCTTTTTTGAATGTGGGGGAAATGGAAACAACACCACATGGAACTCTTTCAAAAAACATTTTTTATTTTAACAGCAGCAGATTTCTAGAGTGTAATGGTTTACCTGGCAAGCCTTTTTTTATACTTGAGACATGTTTCCTTTTCCAATTTCACATTTAATTCCATCAAAACATGTGTTGCTCATTTTGCAATTTCGTACCATCAACGCTGTTGATAGGAAGAGCCAGAAGAATCTCCTGCGATACATCTGGACCATCTTGAAATACATGTCTCCTCCCTATCCCCAGCAGCCCCTGTTCTGAACAGCTGATTTATGTGTCTGGAGAGCCAGGTAAGGGCAGATATGAGGCAATGAGAAAAGTAAGACTGTCTCCAGCACACAGCAAGGCAACTGTACACCGCACCCACGCTTAGACACAAGACTAGGTGTACGTCATGCATCTGAAAAAGGGATTCATCGTCCTTCAGAAAAGCTAGTTTTAAATGAATGCCTCGAGTTACGCAGTATGATCCGATCATTTAAAAAAGCTGGCAGATGTTACAGTATTATTTGCAATGATAAACAGAGGGCTATCTTTCAAGGCTCTTCTGCTTATAAAATTAACCTCCTAAAATAACGTTCACATATTATCAGCTATACATCAACACGGAACTACAGGCAAGCACAGAGACTACCATCAAAAATGCTCTAAGAGAGCAACCAGAATATCTAAAGAAAAATGTTCTGTGTTAAAGGTACACTTTTGAGGCCCCCTCCTCAGAACTAAAGGCCTTTGATGCTTCTCATCTGTCAACATTCTCTTCTTTCCTCATCCGTGATTCATTTCTAACCACCTATAAGCATTCATTCATTAAACTATGAATCAGCTTAAACTTTCTTAAGTTATTCTAAACTTTTTATTTGTGTCGCACCTTTTTGCCCCGAGAAGACTTGTACAAATTTGCACCCTTTCCTCCCAAAACGATAAAGCTCCTGACTGAATAGTAACTGAAAGAGAACAAAAATACCGTAAACCCCACGAACAGGAAAACGTTCTCCTAAACGTCTCTTCATTACTCTTCTGATTCGTCTCTAACACAGCAAACCCTATGAAGCAGAGAGTTTGTGCTTTACAACCACCCGCGAGTTTTCAGGAACTTATTACATGGTGAAAGGTGAAAAAGCTTTAATTTAAGATGGTGTTTGAAAGGTATACTTACATATAGCTTTTGGACCTAACAACTGAACCTATTTACAACTGGGGTAAATTGACTTATAATTACTACAATTTGGAGCAAATTAGCGTAGAACAGAACAGTTCATTTGGAAGGGACCTACAACGGTCACCTAGCAACAGGGAGTTCCTTTTGCCTCTTCTCTGGTCAGATGCTAGAGAAGGGAGATGCAGTGTTTATAGGGGATAAATATAAACATCTCCATATATTTACATTTATTTATTTATTTATTATACAGTTATATAAATATAAATCTCTCCATGAGGGAGAGGCTGAGGTGGTGGGTAAAGTTCCAGATCACGAAACTGTCATGTGGAACAGAACAGGATCCTACATTTCCCTGCTTATCTTTCTCGCTTCCATCTCCAGTGATACGTTTTTACAGCAGACAAATATTGTGGGATGCTAATGCTCTGATTATTCCGAAACCATTTGCATCTACTACTTCCTATAGACAAAAGCAGAACATTTATAAGGAGCTGCACTTGGCTGTGCTAAATACGGGGGCACTTTCTTCAGGAGCATACCTATATGATCCTTGGAAAAGACTAATACCAACCTTTCATACTTCAAACCAGATTAAATAAAGCCAACAAACCACTGTGAACAACCAATTTATCCAGATGTTTATTGATCTTCTTTAACTACACGGAATATTCGTACAATTCTATTGCCATCACCGTTTGCCTTGTAATGCGCAGCCCTACCAGAGCGTTCCAGTAAGTGTGTTTCTCCCACCCAGCGATCATCAAAATCAACTAAAAATTTGCACTGACTTTCCCCAGCCCAAAACCAGGTCCTATGCTATCAGTTAGAAACAGTGGAAGTAGGCCAGTTAGATGGGGACAAACATGGAAAGAAAATCAACTTCTGAGTACTTCCAGCACAGGTAGAAACTTGAAGCACTAAGGCGTTTGATTTTGATTTCAAAGCTTGTATTCCCCCCCCAACTTTGTTTCCCCCCCCCCCCCAAATACTAAAGTTTCAGTTAATTTGGTTAATATTTTGGGAATTTTTCTGGACCAAACCTAAACTACAAAACTTTTACAAGTTGTATGCTATGGCACACACTGCTTCCTATAAATCCACATATTAACAAATACTGCATGTACTGGGTGGGCCTTCTTGTTCATGGCACACACCCGATCGATCACGAAGATCCACTCCAGCCTCCTGCATGCACTTCTAATTTGAATAGCAACCTGAGGGCTGTTTCATCCAGCTCATTCAAAGCAATGAAACAAAAGCTTGTGAGCTGTGTGTCATGCTCCAAATCCACGAAAGAGAAAAAGGGAAGCCAGAAAAGCTGTTCAGGCAGGAAAAATACAAACACAGCTTTCCTTTGGCCATCATATGCGAACACTGAGGACTCGATTCTCGCGTATATTAATGCCATTATATACAGCTGAGGGAGTATAAAAGGATTTTAGAAGAGGCACAGATTACATTTACCTCCTGCTTACAATTTACTTATACATCACTAGCGTTAGGCTGGATAAGAGTCTGGCCCATAACTGGACTGATTTGGGTACCGGGTTTTCCAGGTTTTGTAGCATGTTCTTCAAGCTGTGCTTCAAAAGCTGCTAAAATCATCTGCTTAAAAGGCAGGATTGTGCAACCATGAAGGCCTTCCACCTTTATCTTTAAATAAAACAAACTATTCTATGCACAATTTCCACATGATATCTGAGGAAAATATTGTCTATGTTGGGGTCTAGTTCCATTTGTGAACTTTTAAGTTGTAAGAAAAATACCAAACACCACCTGCCAGTGATTCACTCCTATATATGTTACTTCATACACTGAAAGATGTTTCCTAAAACTGGTTTTGATTCCCAACCAGACCTTACCATGGACACCTAAATGCCAGGACTTGCCCATCATTTGGGTTATATTTGTATGCATCGTGAGACAGGTTCAGTGTTGCTCAAAGACAGAAGACCTGCTTGCACTGACACTGGCGAGCGCTGATCAGACTTGCAGGGTTGGAGGAAAATTTGTTTGCATTTTTTCCTATTTTGTTAACATTACCAGAAAGAATTACATTCCTCACATTAAGATAAATCTGGCTCTTTGAAATATTCCACACCCGAAGGATCATTTCTCTCTGGTTAGAGCACTAGGGTAGAACCAAGGGACCTGCCAAACACATCACTCCTCCGTGCCCCACTCTTGGAGGAATTGGTACGACTATCTGCCCTGCATTGCCATAGGGTGGGGTTAGGGAGACCTGTGATCTTAGTCTGCTGCTGAGTAATGCTGCTTATGAAAGAAAAGCTATTGATACAGATAAGCCTTCCGAGAGAGACCTCAAATTTGTGATAATTACCCACATATCAGAAGGCTGTCTTCAGTTTTTCATAAGGGGATGCTGCAAATGTGCGCTCCAGAGCTCAGGCCTTTTTTCTATGCTAGCGAAGTATACAGTGAGGGCTAACATTGTTTGTAAGACCAATTATTATCCCTGGGAGGGGGAAAAAACAACAGGTACTTATAAGGGATTAAAAGG